CCCCAAACCCTACACTCTTATCTGTGATTGCTTGTAGCCTCATTTTTTAATGTGGTTTGATTAATTTAATACCTCCAAATATTTGTGGTTCTAACCTAACCCACTTTGMTAAGTAGTGAACTGGGGTGTGGCCACATAAATAGGTGTATTGATAGACCTGAGAGGGACCTCTAGTTTCACCTTGCTCAGGGTAGGTGGAGCAATACCTGAGACCTTWGTTAAAGCCTTCTGAAGAGCAGTCACATCTACTGCCTGCCTGATGCAAGCCCCAATGTAAAACTCACTTCAAGGTGCTTCTCTTTCCTAGTTTTTTTAGCTACTTCATTCCAGAAGTCCTTACACATGCTAAGAACGAATGTGGAAAGCAGTGTATTCCAAGTAAGTGTCCTGCATTAATAAACCAAATATTAACATCACATTGGAMTCATGAGTGTATACTTACAGAAAGGGCTGACACAGAACTAAAAACAGAGCTCTGAAGACAGGGCTACTACAAGTTGAATTACTCAACAGAAGGTTTAAGATGATAAAATCACTTCTCTGGATTTCTTGTGTAACTGAAATCAGTCTGTTCCSCTGTCCATAAAGATTAAAACAAGATTCACTACTTTCAATACTACTTCATCTCAAAAGGTGACATCTTTCTTGGCTCAGTTTTTGTATGCAAGGATAACAAAAGGTAAGACCTTAGAAAAGGGAGAGAAAAAAACATTGTGATCATGTTATTTGTCTCAATGTAGYGTCTGTTTTAGAATGCCTCATGGGTGGTGGTGTGGCTGAAGCTGAGACAGGTGGAGGCCGTTGCTCTTGCTTCAGCAAATCATGCAAAACAAGGAGCTTGTATATAACAGGCCACAAGTTGCCTCATGGAATTTTGTAATACAGTAAGAGAGCTGGAATGGCAGACAGTTGCCTTGTTTGACAATGGGCTGGATAACCATGGGCTAAGCTTCTCACTTAACTTCCATGTGCAGTTGACCCTCCAGGATGTGTTTCTGCTGTACTGCTGCATTAAAGCTTCACAGACTTCTTAGTCACTGAACTCTGATTCTCTGATGAAATTCCATCTGAATGTTAAAAAACACTGCGAGGGTGGTCAGACACTGGAACAAGTTGCAGTGGAGTCTCCATCCTTGAAAATATCCAAAATCCAATTGCACACAGATCTAAGCAACTGCAGTATCTGACCCTGCTTTCAACAGAGGGTTGCATTAGACAATCTGCAGAGGTCCCTTCCCACTTCAATCATTCTGTGACCTTAAAAGTTMTGTGAGTCTGTGATCTTAAATGTTAACAACTCATAGGCTGATCATAGCATGAAAGTGTCCAAAATAGCCCAAGTTCTCTGGTGTTAGCCCACTTCTACTCCRAACTTCATTGATCTGGTGCCTCTTGACTCAAATGGAAACTCTGTATATCAGATGCTGTTTCTGCAAATAATCAGGAGAAAATAATGGCAAACTCCCAGATTATTAGATTTCTAAATTTAACTGCCTTTCTAATATATGTGTGGAACTGATTGCACTTTTGTTGGTTAGTACAGTAGAAAAATTGGCTTTGTTTTCTGTTTTGTAGTAGCTAGCTAGTAAATAWATGTTTTCTGCTATTCCCCACAGTATTTGTGCAGAGGACTATTGAAAAAAAGTTCAAGAGGYTTAAAGTGTGGTTTTATTGCTTTGAGGTGGTAGAGAGACGTCCCCWAAAGAGTGGTAGAAGCAGCTTTGCTGTGTACTAGGACATGTTCCAAAAGCTTGATAGCTTGAAAAACATCATGATAGTAGTGTGGAGTGCTTGAACACTATTCTTATTTAAAGATAAACATAAAGCTGTTCTGAAATTTAATTTAACTGGCTTATGGCTTACCTTTCTTTTCAAAGGTAACTGACATAGGCTATTTTTGCTTACAAATAACAATTCTGAAGTAACAGAAATTTCTACACAGCACCAGACATTGCTAGTGATAATAAAATAGTTACCAGACTTCAGAGTACCGATGTTTGAAAGAGTRGAATGAGAAGCATTGAAACTGCTTAGCTTGTATATCCATAGCCCCTCATCACCAGCATTCAGAATTATTTGCCTACAGCCACACACTCATTTACAAGGAACTGATAACAATAATGTCTCTTYTGACACTCCAAGGCTATCTGTCAGGGTGGCTCTGTAGTGCAAGTGACATCCCTTGGACACAAAATGTGATGTAGGGTGACATTACTTTATCTGTGTCCTTCCTAAGTGTTGTTATAGAAAAGTGGTGGTGTGTTACAGTTGCATCCTCTAATTAWTTATATATAGAAACAGTTGTGAAGTTGAGCTATAAACTAATTTCTATGACAACCAAAAATATGGTCAAAATATGGCTTTTCTAGCATTTTCGGTACATCTGTGGTACCGAAGTTTTTACCACATATTGGAGAAGAGAATTTTTGCCTTTTTTTCTCTGAAACACTACTGCTGGTATGAGAGCTTTTCAGACAAGAGGYGTCTTTCAACACCAGAGTGTCAGGTATGATGGAAAAAGACAACAGCTGTAGAAAGAAGAAACTATCAGATAATTCCTGTGCTTTTTAATTGAAGGCTGTAGCAGCAGGTCAGCCAGTCTGAACATAAATTCTATTACAGAGAAAGCATCACGCAGACACAGAGAGATGAGTATACGGGTAGTGGAAAGCAACTTTCTGCTATTCTCATGTTTCAGGGAATTTCACCTCCAACCTGCCACTGTCCAGTGATCTGATAGGACTTGCAGTGACAGAAAGTGAACAAAAACAAATCTGTATTRACACAGAAAATATTGAGGGAGTGAAGATGGAGACCAACTGGACTCTTCTACCTCTCAGCAACTTTCCTGAATGATTTCACCCTGAGGTGCAGTGTTTCCATTGAAACCACATTTGATTCAATTGAGGAAAAAGGGTATCTGCATATATGTTATTGACTCTACCAGTTCTTTCTCTTGCTATCGCGCTGCTAAAATTTTGCTTTTCCTTCACACTGCTCATTAGTTGTAGATAACCATATATTAAGTGTCAACAGGATTGCTTCTCCCCTTCCCATAMAGCCAGGGAAAATCACCTCTTCAAGTCTACAGGATTTCCTCTTTGCCTGTTACCAGGCTCCTACTGCTCCCACAGAATTRCTGTTGTTGTCTTCTAGTTGCAAATTTAAAGAAACTGCAGTAAGTGACTGTGGAAATAGGGTGGGACAGTTTTGGAATTGAACTTATGCTTGTGGAAGGAAAGAATCAGCAAAGGGTGCCTGGGGAAATGATGGAATCTGTGTTTGCAGACACATTCTGAGCCCGATAAAGTCTTCAGCTACCTGCTTTAACYGAGGAGAGGGTTTTATTTGATGACCTCCTGAGATTCCTCCCAACCTCAGCTATCCTGCAAGTCTTAAAGCAGAGAGACAAGRTGGAAGAAGAATACAATCACATGAGGAAAGTAGCCATAGAGCTAATAAAAAAATTCTAATTCCCCCCACATAAGTTATTTTGGTTTGGCGTACACGTGGGATTAATCCAAACTTTTTGGATGGCTTAGGAATAAATAACTGCAGTTGTGCAAAATTCTCCTGTGGGTGACATTTCATCTGTATTAACAGAGGCCGAGTGCTGTTTTCTCTTTCTGAATGGATGGTCCACAGCGAAGCTGTAGGGGATTGCTCCCATTATCCGTTAATGGTTAAAGACACCTGGGAAAAATGTTGGAGAACAGGTGGGGAAAAAAGTAGGGAAAAGTTAAGTTACAGAGTAATTCTGACCTGTTTCYTTCCTACTTTACTCAGTACCTATGTAATATACTACATAAAGTGGTCCTGAATCTCTGATTAACACAGGCAACTCCTGCTAAAGGGCATGTTTCCAGTCTTATCATGTGGAACTGTACCACTTTGTACAAACTATTTAAATATATGAGTAGCACATAAACAAATAGGTGTGACTCGCTAATTTGGTGGTTTATACCAAAACCAGTGTTGGAGCAAACCCAGCTGAGCTCCTGCCCCAGTAAATTATTAGAACAAATTAATTAATGTAAGCTCAACAAAGCTGTTGAAACTGTATCAACAGTAGAATCWAACCTCTCCTAGTCCTGAGATACTGTAGCTTGTTGTCAAAATAATATCGTGGGAGAACAGGAGGTATGATTTCTAATACCCCCAGGTAAAGAGGGAAAATGAGGCCTATGGCTGCCATATGCATACGTGCATCCTAACCACAGCTCTTGGCTAAAAGGCGGGTGGCCAACTCCTCGTAAAACCTTCGGGTTGTTTTTTCTGCTTCTTCTGCAGGTGCTTGAGAGGGATCACTTAGTTTCAAGCCGTTAACAAGACAATCACTTATATTTTTCTCATTAATGTTAAAAGAAAAAAAAAGGTAGGTGGCATTTGAACTTCAAATGAAGAATTGATTATCCCACCTTATAATGGAGTGTTTCTCTCAGCGGCACTGGTTTGTCTTGCTAGTGATTTATCAGGGCAGTGTAATGAGGAGATCTGATACAACAGCATGCTCGCATCTGGAGGATGAATGCATTTACACGGCAAAACAAACCCCTTGAAAAAGGGAGAKCAGTAGCGATGGAGAAAGACTGCGGCGGATCTCAGTCGAGGAGGGGAAACCGGAACCTCGCAAGAGAAGAGAACGAAGGTAAATTTAAACACGCTGAAATAATGCACCTGTACAAGGATCACTGCAAGAATTTGCGAGCGGATGCTGGTGGCCGCTCACCGCACGCAACTTGCCCGACGCGCCCAGACCTCCGGTTCGCCTTCCCGACGGCTGATGGAGCATCCCGGGCCCGTGATTAGCCGCCGCCGCCGGGGCGGGGGGCGCGGCGC